CTAATGACTCCGTATGTTTATGTTAATTTGCATGACTTGTACACTAATCAGATGCCTCCGATGGTCTTGTGTGAGACATTTTAACTGCTTAAAACTTTCGCACAGTACTCTAGTAATAATAACTAGTACATGTACGGTATAACAAGTTGCCTACTCAGAACTCGTAATAGCATTACTAGTTCCATGTCTATTGTCAACGTTTTTATTCATACATTTTTCACATAAACTTTTAACTTTCTCTCTTTCACAGTTTGGGTTACAAAGATTTTTTTTTAGCTTCTTTAGCGCAATAAGGTGACGTGCAAAGAATTTCTTATGACTACAGGTCTGTGCTCATACAGATACCCACATACTGTGGTAGCTACACAATAGCTAAAAAGTGATAATCTGACAGAATACAGATATGATGGTACAATCTTTTTATTTGTAGGATGTTTGCAATAAACAAACAATTTTGTAACAAGGATGTAAAAGAGTATTGTTCTATGAGCCCCAAAAGGTTGATTCTGTTCATCTGGATGTAGTCCTTTCAGTGGGAGGATGATTAAGCATGCATCAAGACATTGTTCTATGAGGAACAATGTCATTTCACTTTAACATGCATGTATAGAATGAGAATTACACATAAAAGAGAAGTGAAAACCACAACAGGACAAAACTTGTGTTATCTGTAAATGGCCACAACAGCACCTGTTGTATTATAAAAAGCTCCCCCCCCCCCACCTCCCCTTTTAGTCCTGAACATTAAAAGTTCTCATGAAATGTCTGAAAATAATTCGTTTTAAAAAATTTTTTTTAAGTTCTTCCACTGTTTAAGGTATGATCAAGATATTTTGATCTGGCTCCAAAAAAAAATTCTTCTCCTTCAACATCCTCTATTTGTGCACCCCTGCACTGCTTCCAGCACTCCTGTTAACAATAAATTCAGGTTCAAGAGTTGCTGTTGAGGACATCTAGCATTCCTCATAAATTCAAGCTGACAGAATTTAAAGGGCTTTACAATTAACCACATTTTTTTTCTCTCTCTCTCTCTCTCTCTCTCTCTTTTTTTGCTTTTGCAGGAGGTACAGAGGCAGACATCTCTCTTCTCCGTTTACACAAACATCCTATCCACAGTCCCATCTTTGGTGGTCACTCTCATACTGGTGACCTACAGCGATCAAGGAGGACGCAAGATAGCCATCATCATGCCTATGATTGGATCACTGATCTACACATTGTCTTTGCTGACTGTGTCCTACTTTGAACTCAGCATTTACTTGCTCTTTGGCTCCTCAATTCTTAGTGCTCTGTGTGGTGGTATGGGCACATTTCTGGGTGGCTGTTTTGCCTACATAGCAGACTTGTGCGAGGATGATCGTCAGAAGACCTATCGCATGGCTGGATTGGAAATGATGATTGGCCTGTTGTCTGGACTGGCTGCATTATCGTCAGGCTACTTTCTGAGAACTGGGGGATTCAACTGGCCTTTCCTAACCTCTTCGTTGATGCTCGTTTTGATCCTGCTCTATGCCATCTTTGTCCTTGAGGAGACTGTGAAGAAGGCTCCAACTGGTGCCGTTACTTTAGATGGATCTCCTTGGTATTTAGGCATGAAACAGATGCTCCGTGGGGTCTGCCAGATGCTTGCAGGGGCCAGCTGCAGGTGGAAAACTGTTCTGGCCCTTCTCATTATTATCTTCACTTGCGTTTCCTTTGCGTATGTAGGAGGGATGTCCGTGATAACACTGTACGAGCTCAGTGAGCCGCTGTGCTGGACTGAGATTTTGATTGGCTACGGCTCAGCACTGACCACCACTGTGTTCCTGACCAGCTTTGCAGGAGTGTCCCTGTTTACATACTGTGGTGTGCCCCAGCTGCTCATTGTCCTGTTGGGGATCCTGTCTGTTGTATCAGCCATGCTCACCGCGGCATTTGCTAAAACAACCTTGTTGATGTTTATAGGTAAGGGGGAAAAATGCAACTTTTGGATGTACAGTAGTTTTGACTCGTACATAAAATGAAGAGATTTACTTTCTAACCCATGTTTTAAGTAAATAAATAAATAAATAAATAAATAAAAAATAAATAAAAAAAATAAAAATAA